CCCAGCGTGAGTTTAAGCCACCGGGTCCGGGACATGAACCGCGGTTGACTACATTGGAGTCCAGTGACATAGCCATTACGCCAACTGCTGGTCCTGAGTGAGCCTTTGATAGGCAGGCTCTGCCCGGGAGCCATATTGGCCTGAGACACCCAAGCTGCTTCAGAGGACAGCAGAGGGTCTGGTGTGCATGCAGCCAGGCAGACTGGAGATGGATGGTGACCACTGACGTGATTTCACTGGCCACCCCTGAGCCAGGGAATGCAGCCTGACTGAGCATCCGCAGTGCCCCAGCGGCAAGCAGGTGATGTCCAACTTCTCACTGGATCCTCTGTCCCTTTGAAAAACATCTGGGGGGACCAGCTGTTAGCGTAGTGGCTACGTCGCTGGACTCCCACGTAGTCGACCACGGTTCGAGTCCCAGACCTGGTGGCTTAAACTCACGCTGGGCGCGTGAGCGTGCGTGCCCAAGATCCCGAGAGGAGAATGGAAGAGGGAGTTCGGGGCGGCCCCCCCTGGGGGGTGATTTCTCGCTTTCTGTCTCTCTGTCTCTCTCTCTCTCTCTCTGTCTGGCAAGCACACGCGCCCTATAGCAAAAACCTCTCAAAAAAAAAAAAAAATCGGGGGCAGGACCAGCAGTTAGCGTAATGGCTATGTAGCTGGACTCCTGTATAGTCGACTGCGGTTTGCGTCCCGGACCCTGTAGCTTAAACTCACGCCGGGTGCGTGTGCATGCGTGCCCAAGATCCGGAGAGGAAAATGGAAGAGAAGGGATTGTGGTGTGGCCATCCCCCTTGGGGAGGTGATTTCTCGCTTTCTCTCTCACTATCTCTCTCCAATGAACACACTTGCCTTAAGGCAAAAAGCCTGTAGTGAAAAAAAAAAAACAACAACACACATTTGGGACTGGCTCCACGGTCTGATAGTTAAGGCAGCTGGATCCCACGTGGCCGGCCACAAGGTTTGATTCCTGGACTGGTGGCTTGGAAAACACGCTGATGTGCTCAAAAAGAAAAAAACAAAAAACAAAAAAAACTCACATTAAGGAACCAGCAGTTGGCGTAATGGCTTAGTCGACTGTGGTTCGAGTCCCAGACCCGGTGGCTTAAACTCACGCCAGGCACATGTGCGTGCGTGCCCAAGATCCCAAGAGGAGAATGGAGGAGAAGGGATTGCGGCGTGGCCATCCACCCTGGGGGTGATTTCTCTCTTTCTGTCTCTCTCTCTCTCTCTCTGGCAAGCGCACGCACCCTATAGCATAAACCTCTCAAATAAAAAAAGGAAAAGAAAAAAACCACTGCTGTCTGTATGTGTATGTAAAATCCTAAAAGGAAGGAGAGATGGAGAAGGGATTGTGGTCTGACCGTTCCTAATTGGAATCACTGTCCCTGTTTCTCCTCCTTTCTGTCTCTCTCTGGCAAGTACACATGCCCTCTGTCCAAAAAAAGAAAAGGAAAGATAAAAACCTCCCCTCACACACGTCGTATCCTGTCACCTCCCAGAATATCGATTTATCCTTCCTTCCACCCCACCCACCCCCCCTACCACGACCAGCGCCCCCCCCAGCACGCCCACCCCCAGCATCAGCAAGCGGCCCCTTCTTCTCAGCAAGCGGCAGGGCCTGGGGCTGGGCAGCCCTCTGGGGCAGGTGAAGAATTACTCCCACGCCAAGCAGCTACCTGTGGCTCAGCGGCCGAGCGTCTTCCAGTCCCCCGACGAGGACGAGGAGGAGGACTATGAGCAGTGGCTGGAGATCAAAGGTAAGTCATGAAGGCTCCGTCGCTCCCACCCACCAGCGCCCGGGCCAGGGCAGCCAGGGGTGTGGGGGGTCGGGCTTACGGTGAGGAAGGCTGTTGAGCCTCCAGGATGAGCTGTGGGCCACGGTGGGACCCTCTTGGGTGAGGACAGCAAAAGAGAGGGCAGGGAGGTGGCTTTAGGCACATTGCCAGGCCTCTGAGCCTCGGGAGCCATTGTCCACTCATGGGGCAGGGTCCTGTGGGCGTTCCAGGGGACTGTTTTCTCATAAATGGCACCTCGTGTCCCTTCTCACCTGATATGACGTGGGGGACTTTAAGAGTCATGTATCCCACAGGAGGCCCCGAAGCGCTGCTCCCCTCTGGGTTCCCTGTTGCCATCAGTTTGGGCCCGAGGCGTGAGCACACAGGTGGCAGAGTGCTCTCCCGTGCCCCAGGAAAAGGACGGTCATTGGCGCTGGGCGAGCTCATCCAGGCCCCAAAGTAGAGCCGGGGAAAGGGTGGCGGGGGCAGCCGTTCCTCCTCGTGAGCCCCGTTGAGAGCGCCATGCCACCCGAGCCTGGTGGAGGGTTTGCCGACGCCATCATGTTCGCCCGACAGGGACAGACAAATGGCCACACGGGGATGCCATGACAAGTGCTAGAGTCTTTATCCTGAAAGAGGGTGCTGGCTTAGGCCCAGCGTCTGTGCAGATCAAAAGCCAGCCTGGCTTCCCGGACCCTCGGTCCAAATGGAACCTGAGCTGGGTAGGACACATGTTTTCTTAGAAAGGTGTCCAGGCAGCTCCAACGCTGCCCTGCCGGGACCTGCTGCACTATTAGGGGTAAGAAGCATCTCACTCCCCAGAAATGTATCTGTGACTTTTTTTTTTTTTAATGTAATTTTTTTTTTTTGGAGAAGTTCTTGCTACAGGGCGCTTGCACTCGCTGGACAGACCAAGAGAGACAGAGAGACAGAAAATGAGAAATCACCCCCCAGGGGGGATGCAATCCCTTCTCCTCCATTTTTCTCTTGGGATCTTGGGCACGGGCCCAGCGTGAGTTTTAAGCCACCGGGTCCGGGACGCAAACCATGGTCGACTACATGGGAGTCCAGCGACAATAGCCATTACGCTAACTGCTGGTCCCATACCTGTGACTCTTAAGTGGCCACTGGGTTGAGATTGATGGTGGGCACATGGGAGGAGGTTGAGGCCGAGGGAAAAGTGGGCACAGAATGAATGCCCCCCTGAGACCTCCTGGAGTCCCACCTCCGGTCACACATAGTTCCCTCACATCCCCCCATGCTTCCCAGCAACCCAAGCAACAAGGGGAATAAGATGAGCCCCTGGCTCAGCATCTAGCCTGGGTATGAGGCATTGACTGACAGCAAGAAATGTCTCCCACGAGTCTCATAAAAAGGATAGATTCGCAGCCTCAGAAACAGGCCAGCGAAAAATGCAAAAAAGCAGGTTCTCCACCTCTCAGAGGGGAGTCTAATCCATATAAACGTGTATCTTTATAGCTCTGTTCACTGAAAAGGCCCCCAAGATAATGCTTAAGGCCGTTGCAGTGGGCATCCCTAGCGCCCAGATGGTGGTCTGGAAGCACAGTTTCTCACTAACGGAAACCAGGACTTCTCGGAGAAACAGCCAGCTCGGGGGCTGGGCAGGAAGTGTATGAGATGATCCCGGAGCGCCCTGTCCCAGCAGATGGCGAGGAGGCCGTCAGAGACTCCTGGGGTCCCGTCCAAAACCCTCAGGAGCCAACTCGAAGAGGCTCCACCACCCACAGAGCTTCTCCGATGACATTAATTGCAATGGATTGAAACCCACCCAGTGCATTTCAGTCAGAGTTTGTAATGCTATTAAAAAAAAAAAAAAAAGAATTTGGTCACCTTTGAAGTATGAAAGAGAACCGATGTATTTTTATCAAAAACTGGTAAATAAAAGCATTCTCCGCCTCCTCCCCCAACCGACCTCCAAGAACCAGGGGAGGCCGGATTTGTTTTCTGTGCCTCCCTTTCCAGCCTGGGAACCCGACGAGGCCTCTGGGAGGCTCCCCCTGCTCTTCTTTGGCCCCCTCCCGCCCTGTGCATCTCATAGCGACTGGTTTTTTTTTGTTTTTTTTTGTTTTTTTTGAGAGGTTTTTGCTCTAGGGCCTCCTGGAGTCCCACCTCCGGTCACACATAGTTCCCTCACATCCCCCCATGCTTCCCAGCAACCCAAGCAACAAGGGGAATAAGATGAGCCCCTGGCTCAGCATCTAGCCTGGGTATGAGGCATTGACTGACAGCAAGAAATGTCTCCCACGAGTCTCATAAAAAGGATAGATTCGCAGCCTCAGAAACAGGCCAGCGAAAAATGCAAAAAAGCAGGTTCTCCACCTCTCAGAGGGGAGTCTAATCCATATAAACGTGTATCTTTATAGCTCTGTTCACTGAAAAGGCCCCCAAGATAATGCTTAAGGCCGTTGCAGTGGGCATCCCTAGCGCCCAGATGGTGGTCTGGAAGCACAGTTTCTCACTAACGGAAACCAGGACTTCTCGGAGAAACAGCCAGCTCGGGGGCTGGGCAGGAAGTGTATGAGATGATCCCGGAGCGCCCTGTCCCAGCAGATGGCGAGGAGGCCGTCAGAGACTCCTGGGGTCCCGTCCAAAACCCTCAGGAGCCAACTCGAAGAGGCTCCACCACCCACAGAGCTTCTCCGATGACATTAATTGCAATGGATTGAAACCCACCCAGTGCATTTCAGTCAGAGTTTGTAATGCTATTAAAAAAAAAAAAAAAAGAATTTGGTCACCTTTGAAGTATGAAAGAGAACCGATGTATTTTTATCAAAAACTGGTAAATAAAAGCATTCTCCGCCTCCTCCCCCAACCGACCTCCAAGAACCAGGGGAGGCCGGATTTGTTTTCTGTGCCTCCCTTTCCAGCCTGGGAACCCGACGAGGCCTCTGGGAGGCTCCCCCTGCTCTTCTTTGGCCCCCTCCCGCCCTGTGCATCTCATAGCGACTGTTTTTTTTTGTTTTTTTTTGTTTTTTTGGAGAGGTTTTTGCTATAGGGTGCGTGCGCTCACCAGACAGACAGAGACAGAGAGACAGAAAGCGAGAAATCACCCCCAATCCCTCCTCCATTCTCCCCTCGGGATCTTGGGCACGCATGCACACGCGCCCGACGTGAGTTTAAGCCACCGGGTCCGGGGCGCGAACTGCGGTCAACTACATGGGAGTCCAGAGACATAGCCATTACGCCAATTACTGGTCCCCTCACAGTGACTGTTGAGACCAACTCCACCCCCCCTTGTCACAGCGCTTGGTGCATGGACCCAGGATACCCAATGACCTGCTACATCTCACACTCTTCTCCCCCCCACCCCCTCTGTCGTTGTGGTCCGTAGAGAGAGTGTGCCTATTGACTGTGGGGTGTGTGAGTTGAACCCCAGTACTGACAGCCTCCTTAAAGTTTCACCCCCAGAGGGAGCCGAGACTCGGAAAGTGATAGAGAAATTGGCCCGCTTTGTGGCAGAAGGAGGCCCCGAGTTAGAGAAAGTGGCAATGGAGGACTACAAGAATAACCCAGCGTTTGCGTGAGTATCTCCGGGAAAGGGGAGGCCGTGGCCCTCCGGGCTGCGCACAGACGCGCCCGTGAACTCGTCACGGCGACCAGGGCCGGGTGCTTGCTCGCATGGGCTGGACGCCGTCCCAGCCACTTCCTAATTGACACCAGACGTTGCCACAAAGGGCTCACGCAGGGCCTTCTCAAAGCATCTCCGCTTGCCAGCCTGCTTTTGCATGATGGCAGTCAGCCCCGGGTCTCCCTCCCCGTCATGCTCATTTTGCCTTTTTTCTTGTCCATCTCCTCTCTCTCTCTCTTTTTTTTTTTTAGAGGTTTTTGCTATAGGGCGCGTGCACTCACCAGACAGACACAGAGAGACAGAGAGACAGAAAGCGAGAGAAATCACTCCCCAGAGGGGATGGCCATGCTGCAATCCCTTCTCCTCCATTCTCCTCTCGGGATCTTGGGCACGCACACACACGCGCGCGGCGTGAGTTTAAGCCTCCGGGTCTGGGACTCGAACCGCGGTCGATTACGTGGGAGTCCAGCAACATAGCCTTTACACCAACTGCTGGTCCTGCATTTGTTTTTGTTTTGTTTTGTTTGTTTTTTTGAGAGGATTTTGCTATAGGGTGTGTGTGCTCCCCAGACAGAGAGGGACAGAGACAGAGAGACAGAAAGCGAGAAATCACCCCTCAGGGGGGATGGCCACGCCGCAATCCCTTCTCCTCCATTCCCCTCTCGGGATCTTGGGCACACACGCACATGCACCCCCAGGACTCGAACCGCAGTCGATTACGTGGGAGGCCAGCGACATAGCCATTACGCTAACTGCTGGTTCCTTGTCCATCCTCTCTCTAGATTTTTGCATGATAAGAATAGCAGGGAATTCCTCTACTACAGAAAAAAAGTGGCCGAGATAAGAAAAGAAGCACAGAAATTGCAGACGGCCCCTCCGAAAGGTAGGTGGGCAGAGGGCGGCGGGAGGCTCTGGGGTCAAGGCCCGTGCCCTTCCAGGCACCCCGCGTCACTGGGAATGGGGCTGACCCCACCCCTCTTACCCCACCAGGCCTCTAAGGTCTGGAATCAAGTCTCGGTGCTAAGCCTGGCATGCAGCCAGGAAGGAGGGGAGGAAGGGCCACTGTTCTCGGTCACGTCCAAGACCTCAGCTCTGTGCATGTGAAGGGGGCAGAGGGGGCGTTTGGTGGTCGTGGCTGTCAATTCGTCGTTACTTTATTAATATGTCAGGCACTGAGGACGCACCAAAGTTTAGTGCCTGACGCTTGGAGAGGGACTCGGGGTTGGCAGAAAACAGAATTCACCCATTGGCAAGATGCCGACGGGATGAGCTTGGGTGGGAGGGGCATGGCTCTGCTCCCCAGCCACAATAGCATAAAATCCCTACTGGGTGCTGGCAGGTGGCGTAGGGGTTGATGTTCAGCCCAAACACGGGCCACAGAAGTTCGTTCATTGTGTCACCTGCAGTCCTTTGTCCCCCAATCATTCCCCCGCCCCCGGAGAGGAGGGCAAGCACCCAAGCCCCACATGTGACAAGGGTGGGCTGCCCCAACTCAGAGAGGCTGGGGCCGGGACTCCCAGCTCCCGGCCTGCCGGATCCAGATCTGCCCTCACGTGCAGCTCCCTCGTCCCATTTCCCATCTAAGGCCCACGTGCCGCCCTGGGTGGGGTGGGGTGGAGGGGCCGTGGGGGAGGGGGTCGTTGAGCTACGTCGTAATGTTAACTTGGCCATGTGGTCCGAACACAGTAATCTGATTGCCGTTTGCCTGTTTCTCTTTGCATTATTCCTAAAAATAAACCTCACTCGCCACCCGTGGGGTTCTTAGCAGAAATTAGGCTGTTGGGTGTGGTGAGTTGAGCTCAGTACTGACAGCCTGCTTAAAGTTTCACCCCCAGAGGATGAAGAAGCCAAGAACCTTGCAGAAAAATTGGCCAGGTTCATAGCAGACGGGGGTCCCGAGGTGGAAACCATCGCCCTCCAGAACAGTCGAGAGAACCAGGCATTCAGGTAAGGGGAGTGGGCCCACCAGGGAGGGGACCCCCGTCCCGGCTCCGGCTCCCCGACAGAGGAGGAGGACAGGGCACGGTCCAGTCCTTTTGTCTGACAGGAACCCATAGCAAGAAGCTAGCAGGGTCAGGTCTCAGGTCTGGGAGTTTCTTTCTTTTTTTTTTTTGGAGAGGTTTTCACTACAGGGCACGTGCGCTCGCCAGAAAAACAGAGAGAGACAGAGAGACAGAAAGCAAGAGATTACCCCCCAGGGGGGATGGCCATGCCGCAATCCCTTCTCCTCCATTCTCCTCTCGGGATCTTGGGCACGCACGCACACGCGCCCGGCGTAAGTTTTAAGCCACTGGGTCCGGGACACGAACCGCGGTCGACTACGTGGGGGTCCAGCGACATAGCCATTACACTAACTGCTGGTTCCCTCAGGACTGGGAGTTTCTGACCCTAGAACCCAGCTCTGTCGCCCCACAGGCATTTCCCAGGCACATGTCAGTACTCTTGGCTGGTCTCTGAGGCATGCACATGGGACCTTTGGGCCTCTGTGTCCTCTGAGTGCCTGATGGAGAAGGTCCCTAGCACCTTTTTTTTTTGGAGAGGTTTTTGCTATAAGGCACGTGCGCTCACCAGAAAGAAAGAGAGACAGAGAGACAGAAAGCGAGACATCACTCCCCAGGGGGGATGGCCACGCCGCAATCCCTCTCCTCCATTCTCCTCTCGGGATCTTGGGCACACACGCACATTGGTCCCGCGTGAGCTTACACCACCAGGTCCAGGACTCGAACCATGGTCAACTATGTCCGGGACTCGAACCATGGTCAACTACATGGGAGTCCAGCGACATAGCCACGATGCCAACTGCTGGTCCCTTTTTAAAAATAATTATTTAACTTTTATTTATTTAAATTTGACCAGAGGGGGACAGAGCGAGAGAGAGAACAAGAGAAAATGAGAAAGCAAGTCTCCAGGTCCAGCACCCTTCACCACCATGCCACCTGCCGGCCCTGTGCTCTTTGTGACAGGTAGCCCCCTGGCTTGGAGAGCCACAGAACTGCTCGTACCCTGTACATTCTTGGGTCTCCCCTTGATGTGGAGGGGTGTAGTGAGGCATGCAGAACCCTAGGCCGTCGGGTGCAGGAATTCCCAGACCATGCACAGGGCTCACAGAGGGGCTGATGGGGGACAGGGAGCCTGGTCTTTCTGACGTCCCTGGCCACACAGTCACACTGCCGTCCTGAGGTGGGACTGGCTGTGTGCTCGCCCACTTGCTCACTTACTCGTTCATTCATCAGGGATGTTCAGTGCCTGCCCTGTGCTGAGGAGGGCCAGTGGGTTTTTGAGGGCCTTCACTGATGTAGGGTAGGAGCTGGCAGAGTTGTGCTTGGGAGGTGGATATGTGGAGGGAGGTGCCTGTGAGAATTTTGGGGAACCAGCAGTTGGCATAATGGCTACATCGCTGGACTCCCACGTAGTCGACCGCGGTTCGCGTCCCGGACCCGGTGGCTTAAACTCACGCTGGGCGCGTGTGCGTGCGTGCCCA